TTTAGCAGGCCTGGGCTGGGTTTGAAACTGCCAGCCTTGGTGTATGTGGCTGGCGCCTTAACCACTGTGCCATGGATGCCGAGCCTGATTTGGCAGATTGTTTTGGGCGAAACCATTAGGGGTGTGTGTTTAAAACCCTATAGTGAATTAACTCTGAAATTAACTACAAAGATCCATTCAAAATGGAATAACAGTCCTGTTATCTAATTTGTAGTGTACATTTTAAGAAACTGCTCAACTTTAGGTCCCTGAACTGGTTTTGACACATTACATTATCTCACAGCCTACCAAGCTACCCCAAGGAGTTTCTTAGTAAACTGAAGTCTGTTACTAAGTATTGAAGATACGTGTATGGACACTTTTACTGATGGGAATTATTATTATTTTTCTTTTTTTGCCTTTTAAAACAAAATGAAGTGATAATATAATTTGCAGTTAGGAATGAGATTATAACACCTTTTCAAGTCCAGTTTCATCTTAGAAGGAAAATGGAGCTACCGAAACGATCTCATTTATTCATGGAGACAGAAAAGTTATCACCTGCATTGTCTTTACTTGCTTATTTAGACAGTAGTTTTAATTAATTCACTAAATGCATTTGGAATTTTAGGTTCTCACTAGTTTTAGTAGAACTGGAACTCTCTGAAATTATTGGATACTTTGGAAATGCAGAATTTTTATATTAGATGCTCTGATAAACTTGGCTAGGACCATCATCTTGCCTTTAATGCAGGTTCTGTAGCAGCCTTACAATGAAAATGAACTTCATTAAGACTCCAGGGATGAAGTGCAGACTGTAGGTGAGATTTTTTTTCTTTTGAGGTTCACGTAAGTTAAAAGTACCACTTAATGGGGATGTGGAGGTGAGGGGAAGCTGGAGCTTGACAGAAAGGAAGTACTATGTCGATTTGCTTTTCTAATTAAGAGAAAGCATTTAGTTCTAGACAGTAAATATACATGTAGGTTCTGGTTCTGTTTTTATGAAGCAGAGGAGCTCAGTAATTAGTATTCCTGCTTGGGAGCTTTCTGAAGGTCCTTGGTAGAGATATTTTTTTAGAGTTGTTTAGTTTCTGCGGGGGGTAGAAATGGGTTAAACTATCCATATCTTAAACTATGTTCACACCTTGGAAAAACAAAATAAAGAGTAGGTGTAGCTGAGGAACCAGGAGCTCTTGCCTCTGATGTATCCTTTGAGCCCTGTGGATTAAGAAAATGAACTTCAACTTCCCTGGGATGTGTGTCCCTCCCGCTGCAGGGAATGGAGTGTCCCTTTGCCTTTCTGCTCTGTATTCTCTCAAGGCTCCTGAAAGCTTTTCCTGGTCTTTCTCTTTCCTTTCACCTCTTCAGACTCTTCCTGTCCAGGGAGTCTTTCACTAGCCTGCTCAGGTGCTCTTGTCCCTTCCTGACCACCCGTCTGCTTTGTCTTCCCCTCGGCTCCCTGTGCACTTTCTCTCTCTGCCCTTCTTTACCAAGCAGCTTTAGTCATTTCCAGCCTTCCCTCCTTCCCACTGGATCCTGGATTCCTTTTGACTCCCTAAAACTTTTTGCAAGGTTCACCAAAGGTCTTTCCATTTAGAGAACATTTACTGAGCTCCTGCAGTTTGCCTGGCACGGTCCTGGGTGCTCCAAGTCAACTAGATGTATTCTTTGCTCTCCTTCCAGAGGCCCTTCCATCCCTTTGGGACATTTCCATTGTCTGCACAGGCCTGCCTTCCTATTTGATATATTAGAGAACCTCCTAACAGGTCTTTGTTCTCAGGGTTCCCAACCTTATTCATCTCACATAGACCCCTAGAATCCTCACTCCTGAGTGTAGACTTAGGTGCTCAGAACCTGTATCTGCAGATGTCACCGCTATTAGTGGTGTAGCCATAACCTCTCTTGTATGTTTTCTGAGTTCCCAGCCATGGGCCCAGCCACACCACACCTTACTTTTCTGAGTTTGCTTTTATTCCAGGTTGTCATATCCTTCCTATTAAAATTCTCCCTCATCCTTCTAGGCCCAGCTAAGACACTATGTGTGTTAAGGAGCCTCTCCTAGTTCCAGTCAGCATCCTTTGCTTGATTGCTGCCACCATGGTAGCTGTCATTATCATTGGATGGATTGCTACCATTTTCTTCTTGATTGAGCTCAGTAAATATTTAATGAGTGACTGGCCAGGCCTATAATTGTAGCTCTTTAGGAGCCCTGTTGGGAGGGTTGCTTGAAGCCAGGAGTTTAAGACCAACTTGAAAAACTTAGTGAGATCTCCATCTTTACAAAAAAAATAGAAAAATTAGCCAAGTGTGGTGGTGGGCACCTGCAGTCCCAGCTACTCAGGAGGCTGAAGCAGGAGGATCATTGGAGCCCAAGAGTTTGAGGTTGCTGTGAGCTGTGATGAGACCACTACACTCTAGCCCAGGTAAAAAATAAAACCCCGCCTCAAAAAAAAAAAAAAAAAGAAAAAGAAAAAAAAACTGAGTGATTAAGCAGCCCTAATGAAACGCCTTGGTTTACACAGTGGCTAGACCTGGGAACAACTTGTGCCTTGCTGTTTGCCAAGCATGGTCCTGAGGTGGGCCCCTGGCAGGTATACTTTTTTACAAGTCCATGGGTGATTTTAAAACAGGCGTACTGTGGCAGTCTCAGATGTCTACAGTTACAATCGATTTTATTGTCTAAAGTAACCTACAGTGCTTCCTTTTCACACAGATCTTTAAAACAGGACTCTTATCAGTTGCCTTTGTGTGTTGTCTTGGCCAGAGTCTTTTTGTTTTTTGAAACAGAGCCTCAAGCTGTCCCCTGGGTAGAGTACCTTGGCATCACAGCTCACAGCAACCTCCAATTCTTGGGCTTAAGTGATTCTCTTGCCTTAGCCGCCAAGTAGCTGGGACTACAGACACCTGCCACAATGCCTGGCTGTTTTTTGGTTGTAGTTGTCATTGTTTGACAGGCCTAGGCTGGATTCGAACCCCCCAGCTCTGTTGTATGTGGCTGGCGCCTTAGCCACTTGAGCTATAGGTGCTGAGCCTTGGCCAGAGTCTTTACAAGTTTATTTTTATATTGCTTTTATTTATGGATTTGCAAGGGATATTTATTTCACAGATCATGGCCTTATTATTTTTGATTGGTAATGCAAAATTGTCATGAAAATAGGCTGTCAGATGTCAACACCAAGCCTAAATGGAAAATTCAGAGAAAAGAAAATGGGCTGTCAATTTAGATAAATTGTTTGATGATGCCTCTTTATGAGGAATCAGGATTATGCAGATAGCATTCTTACTTGGTGGTCCTTCTGAGTCTCAGAGTCTTTGAACTTTTGTTTCTCTTTTGGTAATAGAATTCTGTCTTTTCAAGAACAAGCATAACAAGATAAACACATCTATCCTAGGATAGCAATTTCAACTTGCAAAACAAAACACCATCAAAATAATGGTTTCCCCCCCTCCCCAAGTAATCAGATACTAAAAAGCTTCGTTCAGTGGGGAATGGAAGATTTTTTTTCCCCCTATTTCAAGTTCTTTTAGGAGACAAATTTTTCTTCTGCATGTATCTTAAGGCACTGATAGAGACAATTCAGCTTGGTGCTTTTAGGGTTAAAACGATATGATAGTCTTTCCTTTTATTCCATGAAGCAGACCACTTTGATGGCTGACAGTGTTAAGATCAATTATAGTAATTTTCAAACTTTTTGGTCCTTTCCCGTAGAAGTTTTATGTTATGATCCAGTACATAACAAATACCAAATATACAGAAGGTGCCAAAAAATGTTTACATATTTTAAAAAAAGAAAAAACAGTGTTAAAATTATAATACTCAAGTCATGTTTGACTTCTGTAATTACAAGGTAAACCTTGGTATATACTGATTATTACAATCATAATACAGTTTTTCCTTTCTTAAAATGCATAGGGATTTTTTTGGCACCCTCCATATTTGTGAATAATTGAAAAGAAGCTTCACAGAACAATTCTTTACCATGTCGCACCATTCTTTTTTTATGCTGATTGCCACCCACCAGTGGGTTTCACCCTCAATTTGAAAAATCCTGGTCTATCTCACAGGTCATGAAATACCCCCTAAGCCTCCCTGATAGAAGATTGGTCTGAATTTGCAGAAAAAATTGCAACCAAAGCATCTTTGCTTGAAAGAGATATATTGTTCTTACCTTTGGTGACAATAGTAGTTATGGAACATTTTATTTGTGTTAAAGTAGCAGATTAAAGTACATTCATCTGTATTCTGTGTGGCCTCCTCAGTACAAGTGAATATAACTGAAGCAGGTTTAGAAATTCGTAAGTAAAGTGAGGTGAAACTAAAATCTTCCAAAATTCTTCTTGGCGGCATCAATACTTGCATTAAAATTTCTGTCTTGAAGTTAGAAGTAACCTAAGACCATACTCTGTATTATAGTAGCATTCCTTAATTTATTTATCATGATCCTTTTTCCCCCTCAAAATTATTTTTTTGTAGAAGCTTTAAAAAATGCAAATATTACAAATAAAATAGATCCAAAGTCTGAATGTTTTGTGATATATATCATTTCAAGACTATTTATGGTAATACATATAACATTAAGGAAAAAATCCTAAAAATTAGATTACATACTGTGCATGTTGTTCAGTGTGGACTTGAAAAAGATGTGAAAGACTTCTGAGTGTGTGGACTTCTCTCTCATTGCTAATAGCCGAATAGAACTTTATTATATGTATATATACAACAGATATAATTTAACCAATTCTTTGTTACATAATTAGATTGTTTGCAATTTTAGCTATTTTAAACAAAGTTACACTGTATAAAGTTTATATTATTTTTAAAAGGAACTAGAAATTCCAAGCATACTTACTTTTTTAAAAAGTTACCCTACAGAAATCTTTCCTGACTTGTTTGTTTTAAAGAACTTACACTTTTTCTCAGAATAGTCTCTCTTATTATTATATTGTGAAATAGTTATACTTTGAGATGAAAACTTGGCTTACTAGAAACTGATTCTAGTTCTCACCTTAATTTTCAGACAGTACCTGTAATGAAAAACAATAAAGAAAACAGACTAAGAGGAAACAAAGCGTTCTGCGCGGTGGGTTTCTTATCCAGTGTAGTAACCTACTTGTTAAATATTCATGACCTCGCAAGGTGTACCTGGCTATTCTGGGTTGTTACACTAGCTTAAGAGAAGCCTTTGTAGAAAAAAAAATTTGAGTCTTTGAACTGGCTTTGCCTTCTTAAGCCTTTAACTAAATTTAATTGCTGCTGCAGCAAAACCTGCCACCTGATTAATTCAGACATAACAATTCATTCATGAGTTGTGTGTGTGTTGGTTTTTTTTAGCTTTAGAAAGATAGGTTGTCTCCTACTATGCATGGCAATGGGATATGTGACCGTAGCTACAAATGACCCCAGGCCCTTGCTAGAGCTTGGTTTCAGTTTTATTAATGATAGTTGCTTCATGAACATTAATTTTTTCACTGTTTCAGACAAGTTATATGTATATTGCTAGATGTAACTTCTGGTGAAAAAAGGATATCACTTTATATTGCAAGAATGGAAAAATAAATATCCATTGTAGTCAATAGTATATGAACCAATATATAAACAATTAACATGCTTACATGAACAGTAAAACACAAATATAGTCTAGCACGGGGGAAAGAGGGAGAGGGGAGGGGAGAGAACGATTGGGGGAAGGAAGGAGGGCATTTGGCTGGATCTCCCCTAATGGGCACAATGCATGGGGTGGATGCCACACCTCCTGGGTCAGGGGTTCTTTTACAACTAACTTTTACCTTGAAAGTGAGAACAATGTAATCTAAAAATTTGTACCCTCATATTAATTTGAAATAAAATCAGTTTAAAAGTATATATCTGG